AAAGGACAGCCACCCCCTGCATTCTCCCTCAGCATCTCGTTTCCTTTCCAGCACATCCACATGGCTTTATGGGAATTGATCTGTTATTTTTAACCTGTTGGGTCCACCAGACTCTAAGCTCCATGAGAGTAGGAATAAATATGTTTTATTCAGCATAATTCTCAAAATCTAACAATTCCTGGCATGTGCCTAAAAATGGTAATTAACATTTTTTATTTCCCTAATATGCCACGTCGTCACAGATACTGCTGCTCCCTCTACTGAGACTACCACCACCATCATCCCCGCTCCCCTCTGCCACCGCTCTTGCCCTTTGCACACCTTTATTCATCTCTCCTGTCTCAGCTAAAACACCTTCGTGATGAAGGCTGCTTTCCTTCCCTGAGCTGTCCTGAGAAAAGTCTCTCCATTTCCTTACCTAGTCGGGACTAGCTGCGTCTCAACCATAGCACTGACCGGGAGTGTATCATACTGGGGCTTTTTTGGTGGGGAGGGAGCCTGAAGGGAGTTTGTTTTGTTTTGCATTTGTCTCACTGCCTTGGAAAACCTTAAAATGAAGAAAAACCTTTTCATTTTTGTGTCCCTAGCACTTAGCCCACTACCAGGCACATGATACAGTACTACTAATCAAGACAATACCAATAATGACTAACATTTTGAGTGCTCAATATGTGCTTCACACCCTTAGTTCTATAGTGAGTGAGTAAATGAATAAATGGATACCCTTCTTGGTCACAAACCTCGAAGAGGTCACAGTCTGACAGGGACAGAAGACAGGTATGCTGGCTAATGCAGAATAAATACCACCACAGGGCCAAATGAGCTGCCCTGACCTGTCCCTACGCCTTCAAATCTTAGAGTATGCTTTTCTCTGCATCCATAAATGTCAGGTTTCCTCAAACTCACTTGGACTACTTCCTTCGATTACTTGCAATCCACTTCCTGCCCTTGGTGCCTGGAAACAATTTCTAGGATGTCACCACAAGCAATATTAAACTGCCACACAGTTTCCTGCTGTATGTCTACATTATCAGTTAAATTGCTTCATATTAACCACATTCTAGTCCACTGGGATCACTCAAATACTAAATAAGATTTAAACCTACCTGTCAAAGATTGCCAGTTTCCACTGCTCCTTTTATCCCTCTAGATAAAGGTCTGCTCAGATTTAAAGTTCAGGAGCTTTCCAGGGTCCTACCTGCATACTGGTGACCTTTTCTTTCCCGGCGAAGTAGATGTTTGGTTTGAAGCTAGACAATGTTCATTTAGATAAACATGAATTTAAAAAAAACACTCTTTAGAAAAAAAGTAATTCTCTGCACAGACCAGGGCAATTAACTTAAAAACATAAAAACTCTTTATCCTCAAGAGTTCAGGTAACAAATTGTTCTTTTAACTCTATGTACACTCACCTTGGAGCCTTAGTCAGGATCTTAATTCAGATCCTACCATAAATCATTAATCCTACCTTAAATCAGTCCATAAATTCTTCCTAACAACTTTGTATGTCAGGTACCAGGTCTGACAAAGGGAACTCAAGGACAAATAAGACAGTTCTGCTCTCAAGAAGTTTATCTCCCGTTTAATATGGAAGACAGTCAAGGCACTGAATTTGGTGCTAGAACAGTGTTAAACACAAGGGGCCACAGACACTCATGAGGGGCGCCTGGGCTGGCGAGGAGTGCACAGATAAAGGGCACCTGCTTGGGGTGCCTGGGTGGCTCAGTTGGTTAAGCGACTGCCTTCGGCTCAGGTCATGATCCTGGAGTCCCAGGATCGAGTCCCGCATCGGGCTCCCTACTCGGCAGAGAGTCTGCCTCTCCCTCTGACCCTCTTCCCTCTCGTGCTCTCTCTCGTTCTCTCAAATAAATAAAATCTTTAAAAAAATAAAAATAATAATAATAATAAAAGGGCACCTGCTTTATGGTGAAGAGAAGATGCACAGAAGAGGGGCACCTGGCCTAGGCTGGTGGGGGGGTGGTTGCACAGATGAGGGCAGCTGGCCGAGGCTGGGGAGGGGGCTGAGGGTGCAGAATTGGCATCAGGGCAGGCTTCCCGGGGATAGCATCTAATCTTAGGCAAAAACTCCCATTCTCTCACATGAAAAATGTTAGTAGTGCCTACATCATTGGACAGTTGTAGGGATTTGGTGAAATGGTTCACATAAAGCAATACCATCATGCCTGACACAGAGATTGTGCTCAACCAGCCTTAGCTTGAAGTGTGATCAAGCACTAAATCTCAACACCTGTGCCTAGCAACGCACCTGCTTTACTACTAATCATACAACAGACACCAGCTGTACAATTACACAGTATTGTTTTAATCAACTTTTATTTTTTAATAAGAGAACGTTAAGTCCTGCTCTTCACATCAACAGTCTAATTCCTTGATCAAAACTTTCTTCATTTCTTAAAACATACCATTTCTGACACTTCTGGCATAAAATATACGGTTTTCTTAGTTTGACAGAGAAGGTATAAAAGAGAACTGCTGAATTTTTAATACAGGGCCAGCAATCATGTTGATACAGCATTTATTGCTCATTATGACTCTGCAACATATAGTCTTCCCCATTATACCCTTAGGGAAATTGAGGGTGAAAGAGGTAGTTTGTGTGAAGTTCCATAGTCAGTAGACAAAAGAGCTGGAATTTGAACCAGATCTGATTCCACATCATCAGCCTGACTGGGCCACACAGCATCAGAGATAAGAGGAAACACTGGCAGCCACAGTGCTCTCCTGTTGAGGGGCCCCGGAGTGCTGTGTTCCACCCCCACCCCAACGCGCACACGCGCGCGCGCATGCATGCATGCACACGTGCACACACACACACACACACACGACTGTCCCTACACAACAGAGCCTGCACACAGATTTCAACTCAGGCAGCTCAATACCTTGAGCTAATTCTGTTCTTTCCTGTCAGGGTAAAACAGTGACCAAAGCTCTACTTCCTCCAAAGACTAGGGCAGCATCTATATAGACGGTCCCTAGCCACCTGCCCATCCCCATATCTAGCTGCAGACAGAAGTTGATTAGTCAATAGTCACCATAAATCACAACTATTTTTCATAACTTCTCTTCACATTCTCTTTGTCTCACCGCAAATAAAGCAACATATTTCCCAAGCCTAAGCTTTTATCTCAGTCTAGTTTCAAGATCAAAAGAGCTATTCTTTATGCTAATTTCACACCTTAGTATGTTCCTTCACCCAAGTGCTCAGATATAACAGTAATGGGTTCCACAAAACACACTTGAGAAATGTATGTTAACCTGCAACCTTTAAGAGCAAGACAGAGACCTGATGTCTAGTCATCTGACCTTCCACTGGCTGGATTTTCATGCTGGTTCTGACACTGACAGCCTCATATCAGGCAAGTTTCTGAACTTCTTTATAACAAAGGTAAGCATCCTCACAAGCATACTCTGCGACTGTAAGGTGGCTTTTGGAAAGTGTTTCTAAGTGCTATTGAAATTCAAGTTTACAACTCTTTCTTGGAAACAAGAGCTAAACTTGGAGTACCTCCTTAATCCCAATGCTTTACAAACTACGTCTTTGTACCTCCCAAACCTCTTAAACTGTTGTTTGGAGCACACTTCTTTCTCCCCTTGTTTCCACAAAATCAAGAATGAACAGTGTGCTCATCCGACTGTTCCATTTTCATCATCATAAGCAAACTTTTCTAGCTTCATTCAGCGGATGTCTCAGGGCTGCTGCAGCACATGAGACATTTAGTGAATGGGAAGCCTAAGCGGACTACAAGGATGGGCAAGGGTCACACTGCATGGACATCGACTGGACATGAGAGACAACATCCGAATAATTATTAGAGTTCGTCCTCAAGGCCCTTCCCCTTTCAAACTTCCCAAGCATTATTCTCAAAGTGCTGAAATAAACACATTCCACAGACTTTCTTGTAAGCAGGTTTAAAGTGTCCTATGGTGCTCTTGCTGTTGTTTGAACTTTACATTAAAAAGCTTTGTCACGAGAAAAAAAAATAATAATAAAGTGTCCTATGAAAGCCGTTTAGGGAAAAGCCTATGCTGTGAACTTTATTTAAGCGCCCTTAAACAATTCTATTACTCATAGAGAAAAGTGAACATTTGTTAGTGATTAGAGATAAGGCATCTCATGTTCTGGAGCTGAGGAAGGGAGAGGCCGAAAAAGGACCTGACGGGGAGGGGAGATAGAGTCTAAAGCAACACACCCAAATTGGACTGCATAAAAGTTGCACTTTCCAAAGTCAACTTCTAGGTCTAGAAGCAAGGCAACAATGTTTCAATGGGTTCTGAAGTTTGATTTATCAACAATATCCCCAGAAAACTAATCCCCCACTGAGGACCCCCAGGTGAATGAATGAGGGAATTTGCCAGATTGGATTACAAAGCTTTTCCAACCACTATCAAGATCAGGTGCTCAATTACGACACAGAGGCATCTCTCCTCATAGCCTTTGGCCCTTGCTGTGTGGAGACTTTCACAGATAAGAGGTAGAAGAGGAAAGGGAAAAGGGCCTTCCTCCTCAGGCCATCCAGACCTTAAATCCATGAGTGGCCCCACCGAGGACCTCGGGCGACTTTATGTGGGGACCGCAGGCCGTAAGCAGACCTCTCAGGACCTGCCCAACTCTCAGGGGCGCCCCAAACACACCCATTTGGGGAGCTGCTTCCGGAGATTTCTCGCCCTCCCCCCAACAGTTGTATGAGCATTTTCAGAGGTTCTGTTACCCCCGGGAGGGGGGCCACCTTGTAATCTCTGCGACTCCCGCCCTCAGGTAAGGAGGGGACACCTGACCACTGGAGCCCTTCCACCCCGCGCGCACCCCGCCCCCGCGCCTCCCTGGATCGCCATGGCAACCGTCCCCCTCCCCGCGTGACGCCGGCACGCGGGGCGCCCCTCAGGCCCCGGCAACAAGTCCCCCGCGCCGCCCGCGGCCTGCAGCCCTCTCCCGGCCTCGCCGCCCCGCGCCCGGCCCGGCTCCGCCCGGCCGCACTCACTTGATCCTGGAGCCCATGGTCCCCGGGCCTCCTCATGGGCCCGCGGGCCCCGCTCGGCGCTGCGCTGCCCGCCCGCCCGCGGCCGACCGGCCTCCCTCCGGCGCTCTCCCCGCCCCTTCCTCCCTTCCCTCAGGCTGGGCCCGCCCGCTTGAAGCTCGCTCCCTCGTCGCCGCCGCCGCCGCCGCCTCCCCGGGTTAATGTACTCGCTCCAACCCGGCGAACGCCATGGTCGCCGGCGCGCGTACCCGGCGCGCACCGCCCCCTCCGCCTCTCACACCGCCGCCTTCTCCTGCCCGCGCCGCCGCCGCCACCCGCGGGGGCTGCCGGGAAGTGTAGTCCGCTCGCTGGAGGCGGGGCCGCCTGAAGGCTGTGGAGGGCTGGAGCCGCTCCTCAGCCCGCGGGACTTGCGGAGCTGGGCGCGCCGTTTCCCCGAGGCCCCCCGAAGACTTCCACCCATCGTGCTCCCATTGAAACCTCCACCTACAGAGTGTGGTGAATATACCCTCATCTTATAGAGGCCCCCGAGCTCACCTGAAGAAACCTTCACCCATTCCAACATTATGAGTCCTCCCGCCTAGTAGTTTTGGCGTTGAGATAATGTCTCCCATTCAGGCCTCCGGGAAAACACAAGTTTTCCCTTTTTTAAATGCTATACCTTCCAGTAAGTTCCTCCAGGGGCCACAGACCCTCTTTTCTATCACACTTTCCACTTCCCCAACATGGTCCTTGATGGAAGCCCCTTCCTCTCCCCTTAGATCTTTAAGGAGACCTCTCATACCCACAGGAACACCACCGGAGGCTTCGTACTACCCATTTAGTGACTGCTCTGCCCTACCCTACCCTTGAGGACTTCTGCCTCCCTTTATAAGCCATTTTGGGGCCTCCATACAGAAAGGTCATGTCACCGTAATAGTCCCTGATAGAGAGTAATTACTCAACGCAAATGAACGTATTTGAGTCAAGCACCAACCTGCTGCTACCTGCCTCCTGTCCTCCTTGGGGCTCACTTTCATGAACACCCCAATATCATTCCCTCTAAGCCTGGGGGAATCACAAAGGAAGCAATAGAGACGGCTGCCCTTAGTACCGAGTGGGTGAGTGTTCTCCCTGAACCAGGCACTACTGGTTCTCTACTATTTCCCCTACATGGTGAGCACCGATCCTCACAATAATCTTGTGAGTTTATCCTCCACCCCCACCCCTCGCCAACACACACACATCCATTTCACAAAGAGGAAAGGTTACATAACTTGCGACTGGTGGAGCGGAGATTAGCATCCAGGCTGAATAATTCCAAACACATGTGACACAGTTATGATTTAGGATGGCACCTTTGGCTACAAGTCAGAAGACAGGTTCATGGTTCACTTTTGAAATTAATCTTTTCTTCTCCTTCTTCCTCCTCTTCTTCTTTTACAATTTTCTGTTTTAAAATGCCATTCATTCCTTCTGCTATTTTAGCTCTTGTAAATTCCTGAGCTGTCTCCCCACCCCTCAATCACTACAGTAACTGGTCCTAGGTCCCAGCCAAGCAGGGAACAAAGCAGACAAGAAGAACTGCCTCTTTTGGAGTTATAGTCTGTATAAAGGTAATTTCTCTCTTTTGCCTATGCCTTGAGATTGTTGAAAGCAAAGAGTGAACTTTTTTGAATTAAAGCAAAAAAATTGAAAATCCAAACTGCCGTTTTGAATTCAAAGTCTTTTGCACCCAGACACCAACACTGACTTATAAACACCCCCAGGAGCAAAGCTCTGCTAGACAGACAGGTCCTCTGTGGTGTTTATTCACCTTGTTTCCTATGAACCCTCTCCAAAGAACAGTTGTTATCAAGATCTTCCCCGGAATGAGCAGCCAGTTCAAAAGCTCTGAGCAGGAGACTATAAATAAAACAAAGTTATTTGGTGGAGGGCAAAGTTGGCTGCTTTTCAAAGGAGGTTGTAGCCATCCTGGCCACAAAAATGTCTGGGTGCCTGCTGGGTGGCGTGCATGTGTGTGTGTGTGTGTGTGTGTGTGTGTGTGTGTGTGTGTTTTGGAGGGGGAGACTGGAGGTGGGCTTGGGGGGTTATGTATCTGTCCAGGTGGCCTCTGAAACTGCAGGGTGGTCTGGGGAGAGAGCATTGAACTGGGAGTTAGGAGTCTGACTTCTAGTGCTATAGCTGCACCACTGTCGAGCAGAGCAATTTAAAGCAAATGATTAGAAAATGGCTAGAGGGTGAGGAGGAGCTCACATCATAAGAGAGAGTATAATGTAGGAGCTAAGAGCCCAGAATATGGAGCCATACTTCTTGGGTCCGATCTCAACTCTACCTCTGACTAAATGTGTGCCCTTGGGTAAGTTATTCACTCTCTCTGTGCCTCAGTTTCTCTGTCTGTAAAATGGAAATTATGGTCATAGATCTTACCGAGTTGACATGAAAATTAAATGAGTACGTGACACTTATAAAGTTCTTAAACAGTGACCAGCTTATAGGAAGCATGCAAAAATTAACAGCAACTATTAGATGCACAACTCAGCACAGTTTTGCTTTTATTATTAATAGTAATAATCTTCATAATAAATAGTCCTGTACTTGGATTCGGGAGAACTGAGTTTCCAACCCAGAATGTTATTGTTTACATTCCGAGTCAGAATTTAGTTCAGCTGTAAATGAAAGAAGACTGAAATAACAGTGACTGAAAAAAAAGAGTTTCTCCTTCACATAAGGTCTGGGGATGAACGTTCCAGAGCTGGTATGGCAGTTCTATAAAGCATACTGTAAGATTTGAAGGCATAGAAACAGGACAGGTCAGCTGATTTGGCCTTGTGGTAGTGTTTATTCTGCATTAGCCTGTATACCTGTCTTCTGTTTCTGTCAGACTCTTTGAGGTTGGTGGCCCAGAATTCTATCTTATTGTGCCCCTATTCTCCCAATGAGCTTCCACCTTGTGGTCCAGAAGAGCTGCTTGAACTCTAGCCATCTAATCTGCAACCCAGCCAGCAGGAAGAAAGAAGGTCATGCCTAATCCCAACCCCTAATCTTTAAATACACTTCCCTGGAGTTCCTCACACCACTTCCCTTTACATTCTATTGGCCAGAACTTAGTTATACAACCACATCTCATTAGGAAATATAGCCCTTTTTTTTTTTTCCAAACAATCATGTGCACAGCTAAAGGGGGTCATTTCCAGGGAAGAAAGGGAGAAAAAAGGGACGCCTGGGTGGTTCAGTTGGTTAAGCATCTGGCTTCGGCTCAGATCATGACCCCAGGGCCCTGGGATCAAGTCCCACATCGGGCTCTTTGCTCAGCAGGGAGCTTGCTTCTCCCTGTTTGTGTGCACATGCTCTCTCTCTCTGACAAATAAATAAATAAAATCTTAAAAAAAAAAAAAAAAGAATGGGAGAAAAGATATTGCAAAACAACCGGCAGGCTCAGCCAAGCAATGCTTGGCTTTATGACCTTGGGCAAGTCACTGTATTTCTCTGGGCCTCAGTCTCCCTATACCCAAAGTAAGAGAATCACACCAAATGATCTCTCTTCAAATCCCTTTTCAGGGGCACCTGGGTGGCTCAGTCGGTTCAGCGTCTGACTTTGGCTCGGATCATGATCCCAGGGCCCTGGGATCGAGCCCGCCTGGGGCTCCCCACTCAGTGAGGAGTCTGCTTCTCCCCCTGCCCCTCCCCTCCCTCTTGCTCTCTCTCTCAAATAAATAAATACAATCTTTTTTTTTAAAGCCCTTTTCTGTTCTGAAATTCTATAATTCCGTTTTATAAATCTAGATGAATCTGAGGTTATTCAGATAAAAGGAGGCCTCTCTGCCAAGTACATTGCATAATCAATTGTTGGAATTGAAACTTTCCGGTGATGAGGAGGGATTTAGGAACTTTGCCTTCTGGCCTGTTGTCAAAATAGGCTAAGCATCCCTAGCGGATAAATAGTCCAACAGTTTGTGTGATACCACCCGCGCAGACACTCTGATGCTCCTGTTTCCAAGTTTGCCCTCACTCTCTGTACCTGTTTGGGTTTTTCTGCTTAGGATTTTGAGAGCTGTATCTATTGAGGGAAGGATAGCAATCCCAAAGATCTCTCATACCTCATTAACGATATGATATGAAACAGCAGGACCAATGGTCCAGTGGTATGTTGTTCTAGCCCACTTAGTCGTGATTATATATATTTTTTAAATTGGGATAAAATTCACATGCCATAAAAGTCACCATTTTAACATGTATAAGTCAATGCTTGTTAGTATAGTCACAAAATTGGACAACTATCACCACTACCTAACTTTTTAACACTTTATCGTCCCAAAAAGAAACCCTGCATCCACTAGTGCTCACTCATCCCCTTGCCCCTGGCAACCATGAATCTTTCTGTCTCTATGCAGTTGCCTATTCCGGATATTTCATATAAGAGGAATCACATAATAATGCGGCCATTCTGCCCGGTTTCTTTCACTTACCATAATGTTTTCAAAGTTTATCCATGCCGTACCTCCTGTCAGTACATCATTCTTTTTGATTGCCATGTAACATTCTATTGTGTGGATGGACCACATTTTGTTGTCGATGGGCATTTGGGTTGTTTCCACGTTTTGGCTATGATGAATAATGCTGCTCTGAACATTCACATACAAGTTTTTGTGCGGACGTATGTTTATAATTCTCTTGGGTGTTGTGGTTTTGTTCTTCGGAAAGAAGATGCAAAGTGCATTGTGGGTCTCTTTGGAGGAGAACACAGGTCTTCCCAGTAGTAAGAGAATAGACACTGGAATAAAGCAGATCCGAGGTGCTCGTTAAGTGAATTTGGAGAAAGTTACTTAAACTCTCTGAGCCTTAGTTTTCACATTTTTAATAAGGGGATGATAATACCCACCTCAGGATGATGAAATGGAATAAAGAATGTAGGATTCCTGCTATATACATTTGGTATTCAATAAATGGAAATATTATTGTGCTAAATTGTCAGATTGATAAAGACAGAAACTACATCAGGCTTATCCATACCTAGACCTCAACATCTAGTACAGAGCCTGGCATGCATGCAGTGACCAATAAATATTTATTGAATAAATAAATAAATTATCTCAAAACCCTCATTTTGAGGCTCCTCTCCTAGAAATAATAAGCCACAGAACATGGGGCACCTGGCTGGCTCAATCGGTGGAGCGTGCGACTCTATCTCAGAGTTGTGAGTTTGAGCCCCACGTTGGGTATAGAGATTACTTAAAAATGAAAATCTTTAAAAAGAGCAAATAAAATCTTTTTTAAAAAA